TTGTATCTGTTGCTTTTTTCCTTGTTACTGTTGGTAGCGGGGCAGTTTTGGGGAACTTGAATTTTTAAATTTTCCTTTTCTTTCAGGTTTGGATATAGATTTTTCTATCCGATCATTTTTAAGAACTTTTTGTTTTTTTGGTTTTTGGTATTTTTGGTGTTTTCTTTTTTTTTTGTTTTCTTTGCTTAGTCATACTTAAATTTTTCTGGGTTCGAACGTTCATCTTCCTCAACATTTTCGTTCAGATGTTGTCTTCTTTTTTTTTTTTTTTCAATTTACCCTTGAAGAAAACATTGAAAAGGTAAATATATATTAATGAAATAAAAAAGATGAAAAAAAAAAATTTTTTTAAAGGGAAAAATTTTAATGAAGCTCAAAGATACCATGCAAAATTTTTAAAGAAAAATATGATTCCCCCTTTGGAAAGAAGAAAACCCCCTGAGAAAAACAAAGTACCCCTTGACTAGGTTTTTCAGTCAAATGATCCCCTTTTTTTTTAAATGGAGTGGAAAACATAGGGCAACACTGCTTGACCATTTAACCCTTTGACTGTTGCATTCTGAAACTCATTCTGTTGCAAAATATTTGGAAAAAAAAAAAGATTTTTTCTTATGAAATGATAGAGAATCTTTTCCCGATGGTAATGACACCAAAAGTACGAAATTTGATAAAAAACTTATGGAATTACGCTGCCGTGAAGTTAGCTATCTCGGCGATACATACGCATCAGAGATTTCGCAGACTTTGAGCCCTATTTTCGGCCAATTCCATTGTTCCAATTGCCCAAACTCATAGCTATTTCTTTAGAACTCAATTTTATCTTATCAATTGAGTACAAGAAACCGCCCATTTACCGATTTCAACTACCCAATAAAGTGGTCAGAAATTGACAATTTGGCCAATTTCAGGCAAATTAAAAAAAAATGCCAATTTCAAAATAGGGTCCAGAATAAATAATGCAGACATTTTTGGCACTAAAAGAACATATCCTCTGTTCATTAGTCACATCTCCAGGCCTCTCTTATATTACTCTTGCTTTCTATTTTGATTTTTTATTCACACAAAAAATAGAAGATTTACTGTTATGCAGACTACTGCATTATTGTAAAAATGGTATAAATAATAATAGTGCACTAATGAAAGAATATCAGATTCCCCAGTTGATGTGTATTGGACGTGTGATGTGATTTGCTTACTCTTGAACATTGGTAAAAATCGAACATTTCCGCTACTTTGAGCTCAATTTCAAGGACGTTTTCTTTGTGAAAATAATCAAAATAATCTCTAGTTCTGTAATATGTTTTTCATTCTATCAAATGAGACCAAGAAAACGAAAATACAACCAAAAATACTATACGAAAATATACCTCAAAGTCGGTGTTTTAATCCAAAAACACGGTCGGAGTTTTTTTTTTTTTTTTCATTATGCACTGCGTGCTGCAGGATTTTTTTATATAGTGCACACTTACCACACAGACCTATTCTCTCACATGTGGGCCTACCAGCTTTCTCCTACTTGATTTGAAGCCGCTAGAATTGTTGAGTATATATACGTCCGAAACACTGGCTCGTAAGACGTATATATACAACCGAAACGGTCAAAGGGTTAACTAGTCATCACCTGATGGAATTCTGTGCTGGGAGACATTGCAATAGTGATGATAATAATATTTCATTATAATATCATTATTATTTTACCTACAGTTGCAGTAATATGAGCGTAAGTTTAGGTCACTAATCAGTTTTGTAAGCTACCTGTTAGTAAGCATCCCAGAATTCTAGGAAATTTTACACTGTGGTATCTAAGAAGTGATACTGAAAATAAAAGTATTGGATCAAAGCAAAAAAATTATTACTGAGTGGTACTCGTACTGTACAGAGTTTATAAAAAAAATGGGCAAATAAGACTGACGGTGATTCCACAATTCATATTTAGAAGCATGATGAACTGAAATAGACAGCAAAGCAATGAGTAACTGCCAAATTCAGCATGGTGCTTGTGTGAGTATGGATCCTGATGTTGTATGAGTGGTTCCATAAGCATTGGTCCAGAAATATGAACACCTCGAGGTGTTTTTATTTCTGGACCAATGATTATGAAAAAAAAAAAAGTCAAAATAGTTTCATGAAAAATGAAAATTATTGTACAGTACAGTGGGTTTTCTCTACAGGCTGGAAGCACAGATTAAGACAAAGGAATAGACTTCTACATTTAAAAGTTTCTGAAGTATCCATGGTCAGTCATTATCATCATTTGATGACTAGCTGAATAGTCGAGTTTGGAGGTTTCTGTCCAGTACTGAACAAGGCAAGGTAAGTTAGGTTAGGTTAGGTAAGGTTCGTCAGGAAACTAGACAAGTGTTTCCTGACGCAGGTCTTAGTCAGATGATGACCCATTGTTCAAGCTTTTGGTCATCTGACCAAGGCTTTCTGCTGGCTTACTGGTCCACCCCTTTTAAAATTATAGTCATAGTTATAACCATTTAGGATAAAAAGTAAGTGCAGCAGAATTCTTATGTACAATGAGTAGGAAGTGACTGCCAAGGACTTAACCCAAGATGTAGGCAAAACTGAACGGTGACACTGATACATCTGTTGCTCATTTAACAGAATGCTTTTATGCTGATGAGAGGCAACAGATATAAAGAACTTGAGCTACCATACCCTTCCTTTCCTTGAATCAAACCTGTCTCCTATTCCCTAAGGGCTATATGATCACTATGCGCCTAGCACTTCCTCATTTTCATGATAACAACAATATACAGTATTTGGTGTGCAGCAAGTCAGCAATGCAGACATTTGCAACAGATAGGTATTTTTATATCTGAAAAGTTTTGCCTACACAGTCGACTTCCTCAGTTGAATACAGAAGTGAGTAAATGTAGAGATAGAAGTAGTGGAGAGGTAATGACGTGATCAGTCTTGTCAGCCCTGAAGTAGTAGTTCTGAGATGGTCTAACTGCCTGAGAGACTGACCACCTCAAAACTACTTCAAGGCTGATGAACTGATTGCATTGTCTTTAACTCTCTATTGCTTCTGTTGTCTTCATATTTACTCACTTTTGCATCTGAGTTTACAAGCATCTGAGTGTACATTTAAAAAGTAAAGACACCTATCTGTTGCACCTGTGTGTTACTCACTTACCATTATAATACCATTCATTACCAACAATGAATAGTTAACTGGAATCAGTGAGGAAGCTGACTGTGAGGATGAGAAGATTTCTATTTAAGACACTAACTACCACTAACAATTTGCCTCTTACTTAATTCATGCTCTTGAGCAAAAGTTAAATAATCTAACTCAGCAAATTATTATATAAGCCCAGAGTATCAAAGAAATGATTTAGGAAGGACCAGTCTGCATACAAGAAACAAATGATACTGAATGAAATGTTTTTTTTTTCAAGGATGGATAGAAGTCTATATATATGGGTTGTGGTTAAAAAAACATGAACAAACTAAGGACAATGCATGGAAACATTCATTCCACGTGGAGTAACAAGATCCCAAGACCAAAACATTTCCATAATAGAATATCCAAAGTGTTTTCTCATATGTCTTTAACCACAACGTGTCGGTATTACACACCAGGTTTTTACCAAGTCAACATGGTCAAAATCAGTGGCTGCAGCCACTGATTTTGACCATGTAGACTTAATGAAAACCTGTTACATTCACAAGAGTCATAGACAGAGTGCCTCACATCTAATAAAGTACCACTTGCTTCATTACCTGTGCCTGCAACTGATGAAGTGGAAAATATTAACCCAGGACCTCCTGTTGTTTGACCATAATAGGAATTAGATTTGGAATATCATCCTCTTTCACTTGTCATTAAAACATGGGCTTCCATGGGAAAATAAGATTTATTTTGCATATTTTTCAATGAATGAACCATTAATTCAGTCCCTAATTAGGTCATTACACAAGAGGTCCACTGAATTATCACATGTATTATTTTTGGGTCTGAGTATACTGGCAAGGATTAATTATACAGCATAAACAAAAGAATGGACAGGGATGTGAACTGTGGTCCTGGTATGTAGCAGTCCCTGGACCACAATTTGAGTCTCATCATCATCTGCTTATTCACTGACAGTCCCCTTCATCTGATCAAGCATATTACACAGTTCATACACCCTACCCTGCAGCACTGTATGACCCTGGTGGGTTTAGCGGAGGAGTTGATGAAGTGGCCTGGTCATTAAGAGAGGATGGAGAAAAATAGGATGACTTGGAGGGTATATAAATCTGTAGTGGATGGGAGGATGGGTTGGGGTCATCCTAGGAAAGGATGGAGGGGGGGTTAAAAAAGGTTTTGTGTGCAAGGGGCCTGGACTTAGAGCAGGAATGCGTGAGCATATTAGACAGGAGTGAATGGAGACAAATGGTTGTTTGGGACTTAATGAGCTGTTGGAGTGTAAGCAGGGTAATATTTTGTGAAGGGATTCAGGGAAACCAGTTACCCAGACTTGAGTCCTGGAGGTGGGAAATATAATGCCTGCACTTTAAAGGAGGGGTTTGGCATATTTGCCGTTTGGAGTGACATCTAAACTGTCATATTTGAGTGACTGCAGAGACAGTGATTATGTATGATTGATGGTGAAAGTGTTTTACTGGGTCACCCTGCCTCGGTGGGAGATGGCCGACGTGTTAGAAAAAAAAATAATAACTTGCATTCATTCAGAAGAAAAATATAACACAGACTTCCTTGAGAAAAGATATGGATTACAAGAATCATCTTTTAAAATATTATTGTATTAATTAAAAAAAAAATTATCCTGCATTTCTCAGTATTAAATGTATTACTGCTCACAGTACTAGCATTACAATAAGCTAAGCAATAGGTACTCAATTTCCTACCTAAAAACTTCCTTCCATTTACAGTACTGTAGTTCTTTAGTTAGATGGCACATAAAACAAACTTTTTCTGAATAACTACATTTGCATTTTGATTTTTCTGGCTTTCTAAAGCTAACTATGTACTGTACCAACCTTTAGGAATCAAGCGGCCAGGGTTTCCAGAGAACCACATTGTGCGACCGTTGTGATCCACCATATTTCTCATACCATCCTGGTTGTAACACCTCAGCCAGGCCTTAAGAAGTAAACAGTGCATTGTTATTATTATTATTTGCTGTTTAGTGTGACATCTAAACTGTTGTATCTGCACACCTCTGGCAAGACAGTGATAGTGTGAATGATGGTGAAAGTGTTTCTTTTTTTGTGTCACCCTGTCTCGGTGGGAGATGGATGGCATGTTATAAAATTATTATAATAATATTGAGGGGAAAGAGCTGAGCCTGGGGAATGGAACAGGTGGGGATAGTCATGTTTGATCTGGGGATTGAGGGGTAGCTCTTATTCCTTGGATCAAAAGCCTTTTACAAGCTTCAAAGCACCTTCTCCACTGAAGGGAAACAGTGTGCTACATCTTAATACTGAATACAATGGCCTATACTGTCCAACACTGCTTACTAGAGAATAAAGCTATAACTCTAGTTTAATGAGCCTCAGTTTAATGACACCTGACTTATTGGACCTCGATTTAACGGACCTCAATTTAATGGACCTCAATTTAATTGACCTCAATTTAACGGACTTGAAGAAGATGAAACAAAATCTGTTGGGTCAACTGATTTGGAAACAAAATCCATTAGTTACAGAATTGTCTATTTTTGTTAAGATTGTGGTAAAATAACCTCGTCTCTATACAAATGTTTATTTCTCTGTAAAGATTACAATGTGGGGTTTACATTTTTTTTTTTTCAACAAGTTGGCCGTCTCCCACCGAGGCAGGGTGACCCAAAAAAGAAAGAAAATCCCCAAAAAGAAAATACTTTCATCATCATTCAACACTTTCACCACACTCACACATTATCACTGCTTTTGCAGAGGTGCTCAGAATACAACAGCTTAGAAGCATATACGTATAAAGATACACAACGTATCCCTCCAAACTGCCAATATCCCAAACCCCTCCTTTAAAGTGCAGGCATTGTACTTCCCATTTCCAGGACTCAAGTCCGACTATATGAGCATAACCGGTTTCCCTGAATCCCTTCACTAAATATTACCCTGCTCACACTCCAACAGATCGTCAGGTCCCAAGTATCATTCGCCTCCATTCACTCCTATCTAACACGCTCATGCACGCTTGCTGGAAGTCCAGGCCCCTAGCCCACAAAACCTCCTTTACCCCCTCTTTCCAACCCTTTCGAGGACGACCCCTACCCCTCCTTCCTTCCCCTATAGATTTATATGCTTTCCATGTCATTCTACTTTGATCCATTCTCTCTAAATGACCAAACCACCTCAACAACCCCTCTTCTGCCCTCTGACTAATGCTTTTATTAACTCCACACCTTCTCCTAATTTCCACACTCCAAATTTTCTGGATAATATTTACACCACACATTGCCCTTAGACAGGACAGATATCTCCACTGCCTCCAACCATCTCCTCGCTGCTGCATTTACCACCCAAGCTTCACATCCATATAAGAGTGTTGGTACTACTATACTTTCATACATTCCCTTCTTTGCCTCCATAGATAACGTTTTTTGGCTCCACATATACCTCAACGCACCACTCACCTTTTTTCCCTCATCAATTCTATGATTAACCTCATCCTTCATAAATCCATCCGCCGACACGTCAACTCCCAAGTATCTGAAAACATTCACTTCTTCCATACTCCTCCTCCCCAATTTGATATCCAATTTTTCTTTATCTAAATCATTTGATACCCTCATCACCTTACTCTTTTCTATGTTCACTTTCAACTTTCTACCTTTACACACATTCTCAAACTCATCCACTAACCTTTGCAATTTTTCTTTAGAATCTCCCATAAGCACAGTATCATCAGCAAAAAGTAACTGTGTCAATTCCCATTTTGAATTTGATTCCCCATAATTTAATCCCACCCCTCTCCCGAACACCCTAGCATTTACTTCTTTTACAACCCCATCTATAAATATATTAAACATATTATGAAATATTCCTTACAATGTGTGGTTTACATATTATAAAATACTAATTACAAAGAGGGCCACTATCATGCCTAGCATGATTAGGCATTTCGTGCAGATTAATAATACACCTACCATCCGATTTACGACCTGCTCGACTTACGACCACTCGACTGATGACCGTGTTTTTCATGCCAAATTTCTGGGAAATAAACAACTATTTGTGTTGTACAAAGTGTTAATACTAAACCTTACAGTATAAAATACAGTACTAACAACATAAAAAGTAAAGTAAAACATGAAATACCAAATAAAACAATAAAATAAAGTCATTACAAAAATGTTTTGTTGATATTCAGTAGTAAAGTTCGACTTACGACCATTTCGACTTACAACCAGTTTCTCGGAACCGAACTAGGTCGTAAGTCGGATGGCAGGTGTAATTCTAACTCTATACTGATACAGGTTATGGAGCATATTGATATTAAAGTTAGGTAACTGCAATACAGTTTGTAAAATTAGCAATGAGAATGGTTTTGTCTTGGCATGATACACAGTTTCTATTAAAGCTTCTATATTGGAGTATCTCAGGCAAACTTATGACTAGTTTAAGATTTGTTAGGCAATAGCTTTATTGAAATTTTATGTTTACAGTCATTTGGGTGAGTAAGTGTAAATTAGGAGGGGATCACAGATATTGAGAGTAGGTCTAGTTTGTTTTTTGTGTGTGTATATGATACAAGGAAGAGAATAGGTGGTTTTCATGTAGCTAGCTGATGGTGGGGTGTGTCAGGGAGATAAGATGTTTTTTAACGGTAGTTTTGAAAGTGATGGTATGTCTGCAGTTCTAGAGTTTTCAGGCAGGGAATTCTTGATTTTAGGCTCTTTAATTACACTGAAATTTTGTATAGGTTTAGCTGGACATAGGGAATGTCATAGAGACTTTTGTGCCTGGTGTTGTGCCAGTGGGTCCTGTCACAACTATCAAGAAAGTTTTTTAGTTCAGGGTTAATATTGGAATTTATTGTTTTGTAAATGTAGGTTGCACAGTATTAAGTGTGGATGTTCTGGACAGTGAGTAAGTTTAGATCTCTGAAGAGAGGGGAGGATGTGTTGCCTAGTATTGGATTGCATAATAATATGTCCACCATAACTACCATTACAAGCTACCTACTCCTCCCTATTAGTCTATTAATGATTTAATGGCCATCTGCAAATTAAATTAGGTCATATTCAACCTATGTTGCAGCCTCAGCCTGCCTGTCTAGCTAAATAGTTTCCCTGAATCTATACACAAATGCTACCTTGCTCCAATAGCACCTCGGATCATTAAAAACCACTTGTTTCCACTCACTTCTGATAAGCTCACACAAGCCTGTTGGATATCCAAGTCTCTAGTATTCAAAACCTGTAAGTGTCTGTACTGCTATATATATTGGCATCTTTGTACCTGTCAAGCAATATAATATATTAAATTGTCTAGAATATCCCACAATTAAATTCAAGTCACCTTTGTAACTGTATTTAAAGTCACACTTTTACACATGACTGTTATACATTCAAGAGGCTTGGATGTGCTGTTGGATTGTGAGCAAGGTATGTAATATTTATGGAGAGATTCAAAGAAACCAGTTAGCCAGATTTGAGTCCTGGAGGTGGGAGGTACAGAGCCTGCATCTGAAGGAGGGGTGGGGATGTTGCATTTCAGAAAGTCATCTGAACTGTGATGTAGGCATGCTTCTGGCAAGACAGTGGGTGGATCACCCTACCTAGGTAGAAGACAGTGTTTAAAAAACTTTCATAATATAAAGCAGTATTCCCCATATCTTTAGCTAGTGAAAAATGTTATTCGTTATAAATGGACTAAGCTTGATGGAGATGTACACTGCTGAAGTGTAGATGAATGATGACATATCCTCCCCATTTAAGCCAATATTAAATGCTGGGCTCTTCATCCATGGATTTTGCTCGAGAGAGATTAGTCACAAAAGGACAATCCACAGAAACCTTAACATCCCTTAAAGATGATTCTGCTTCATAAAGGTTGAATATTGCCACTCAAAAAATATCAAAGCTACAGACCATCTATCATACCTCAATCTTTGCTGTTCTTGGTCTATAAAAATCAGTTTTATTATCTGATTAATTGCTGTATATCATCTATACATTTGAAGCAATATAAATTAAGGCTCATTCCTTTGTAAGTCCTGCATTTACTTCTACTCCCTTTGGCTTTACGAGAGTGGCCCACCAAGCATGTCGTCACATGAAGACATCCTACAACTTTCCTATACTATTATATAACTTATTTCCTATTCCTTGAAAATCTGTTGGCCCCTGTTCCTTCATCATTTTTTTTATCTATTAAATTTTCCAAAAACTAAAAAAATATGAATATACAGATAAAGAATTTTTTTTTACCCTAAATTCTTTGTACTCATTGTCATCAGCATCAGGGTCAACATTATAACCCTTTCCTCCTCCGCTCAGGTGGATCACTTCCTTGGGCACGATGTGACAAAAGTCCAGAATGTCAGGATTCATTTCACTCTTATTACCTGACTTTTGCTTGGTTTGTGCCTCATACCATTTGCTGACAGGTTTTAATTCACTCAACACTTCCCTCGCTTCATCAAAGGGACGGATGCTGCATCTGTAAATTTAAAAGGAATAAATGAACTGATAAATTACTAGGAAGGATGATGAATTTTTTAAGGCTTAATGACAGACAATGCCAATAATAACTATATACATAAAGACAGAGTTCTCATGTTAAAAAATAAGAGTGATTAGTGCTCATGCATTTGAAACTTATGAAGCTGGCCCTGATTTTATGCAATAGATGCATTTAAGAACTATAGCAGCTTTCTTAACCCTTTGACTGTTTCAGGCCCCTCTCTGAAACTGTCATTCTATGTCGCTCAATTTTTGAAAAAAAAAAAAATTATTTTTTCTTATGAAATGATAGAGAATCTTTTCCCGATGGTAATGACACCAAAAGTTCGAAATTTGGTCGAAAACTCGTGGAATTATGCTCCCGCGAAGTTAGCGGTCTCGGCGACATATGCGTATCGGCGGTTTCGCCGACTTTGAGCCCAATTTTCAGCCAATTCCATTGTTCCAGTTGACCAAACTCATAGCTATTTCTTTAGAACTCCATTTTATCTATCAGCTGAGTACACGAAACCTCCCATTTACTAATTTGGACTACCCAATATGGTGGTCAGAAATTGGCAATTTCGCCAATTTCACGCAAAATAAAAAAGATGCCAATTTCAAAATAGGGTCCAGAATAAACAAGGTAGACATTCGTGGCACTAAAATAACATATGCTCTGTTCATTACTCACATCTCTAGGCCCCTCTTATATTATTATTGCTTTCTATTTTGATTTTTTATTCATACAAAAAAATACAAAAATTACTGTTATGCAGACGACTGCATTATTGTAAAAATGGTATAAATAATATCAGTGCACTAGTGAAAGAATATTAGACTCCCCAGTTGACGTGTATTGGACGTGTGGTGTGATTTATGTACATTGGTAAAAATCGAACATTTCCGCTACTTTGAGCTCAGTTTCAAGGTCGTTTTCATCGTAAAAGTAATGAAAATCATCTCTATTTCTGTAATATGTTTTCCATTTTATCACCTAAGACCATGAAAACGCGAATACAACGATAAATACTATACGAAAATACACCTCAAAGTCGGCGTTTTATTCCAAAAAAACGATCAGAGTTTTTTTTTTCTCATTACGCAATGTGTGCTGCAGGATTTTTTTTATGTGGTGCACACTGACCACACAGACCCATTCTCTCACATGTGGGCCTACCAGCTTTCTCACTCTTGATTTGAAGCCGCTAGAATTATTGAGTATATATACGTCAGAAACATTGGCTCGTAAGACGTATTTATACGTCGAAAACAGTCAAAGGGTTAACTTAATCAGGACATTAACATTCAATTTCACATAATAAAAAATCTTCAAAATGTATTATGAACTACACAGGTCACATATGGCCAATGCACATCACTCATTCTGAATTACTGAAAGAAATGGGATACTAAAGCAAACCTGCATATTATCATTGCATTCATGGAGGGAGCACAAACTGAATTATGTGAAGGGGGGGGGGATGTACAGTATGAATGACCTTTTGGGCATCTCTGCAGCAGGAATTAAGTCCCACTTGTCCTAAATTTAATGACGACGATGTAGACCATTTCCATGTCTCATAGAACTAATGGCAGTGAAAGTGTTTCTTTGTTTTCAGATCAGCTTAACTTGGTGCAAAATAGCTGATGCATTAAAAAATACATATACAATAAACCCTCAATATAACAGACTATTAAGGAAGATTGTCCGAATGTTTGCTAAATCAGAATAATGTCAAAATTAGCAAAAAAAAAAAAAGAGAAAATTTAAATACTCTACTGCACACCTAATATAGTACTGTATCCTTAATTTACAATTACAATGCACTGAACACTGAAAATAAAGGAGTTGAATGAATAATTTATTTAGTGTATATAGTTCATTATTTTAAAAGTGTTATATCAAGGTTTACTGTATACAGTAAGGCAAATTTTCAGGTAATCAGACACTCTAACCATATGTTTCACTTAAAAAAAATATACACAACAAAAAATATTTTTGAGTAACTGAGGGTGTTAAAATGCATAAAGATATACAGTGGTCCCTCAATTATCGTCCTTAATCCATTCCTGGAAGTGGGGCTATTATCGAAAGACGATTCTCGAATCAATTTTCCCCATAAGAAATAATGTAAATACAATTAATCCGTTCCTGACACCCAGAAGTATTAAAACAAAAAAATTTTTTTTACATGAAATATAGATACAGCACATAAACAATACAATGGGACATGACGAATGAAACATTAACAGCATAACACTTACCTTTATTGGCGATTCTTCTTAGTGTATGGAAAACTGGAGAAGGAGAGACATTGAATTACTGTTTGGAAGGGGAATCCCCTTCCATCAACACCTCAGCTACCAAGTGCTTTTCTGAGGTTACTTCTCTTCTCTGTTTCTTAATACCACTAGGACCAGCTTGAGAGTCACTGGAGTCCTGTCTCGCAAAAAAACTGTCCAGAGAGCGCTGTTTCTGGCATCTTTAAAACTTCCTTAAAATGGCCCATGACTCTGTCACTGTACATGTTGCCAACATGGCTTGCAACATTCTTCTCAGGGTTATGTTTCTCCATAAATCTTTCCATCCTACCCCACATTTCAAAAATCTCCTTAATTTGTGAAGAAGGCACCTTCTTCCATCTCTCTTTGTCCTCCTCTGCAGCAAGATTCTGAGCTGCGATCTGTTGCTCCTCCTCCTGAAGCTCTTGCAGCTCCTCAGTGGTAAGCTCTTCGTTGTGGTTCTCCACCAACTCTTCTACATCCTCCAAACTCACATCCAACCACATGGAACTCCCCAGTGCCATAATAGAGTTCACAACCGACATAGGCTCATCAGGGGCCGCCTCAAACCCTTCAAAATCCCTCTTGTGGACACAATCTGGCCACAATTTTCTCCAAGTAACAACAGCTTCCTTGATTTCCTTTTTCTTTGCCATGATGGAAGATATGGTTGTATGGGGTTTGTTTATACATCCTGGCCAGTTCGCCCACACGTACGCCACTTTCATATTGTTCAATGATGTTTTTCTTAAATTCAATCGTATTTCTCACCTTCTTTACCAAAGGCTTGGCACTAGGAGTTTTCTTTGGAGCCATGGTAGCTTATTTAGCACTTGCAAGCACTAAAATGAATGGAATATTATGAAATATTTCGTATGAACACATGAGGGACCGTCGCTCACTGGTAAACAATGGCACACTGGCTGGGAAGGGAGGCTGAGGCGGCTCAGAGCGTGAGTACGCGTCCAGGACGAAGGACGATTAGCGAGTTTTGGACCATTTGCGAGCCAATGTTTAGACGAAATAATGGGACTATTTCTGAAATGGACGACTTTCAGGCCGGACGATTATTGAGGGACCACTGTACAGTAAAATGCTTAGGGTACAATCATTCTAACTGTATTATAAAATACCCTAAGAGGTGATCATCATTACAGGAGAGGAAATTCACAGCACAACATTTTTCAATCAGTCAACTATGTAAATTAAGTAAAAACTATGCTTCAGTGGTTATTAAGAAAATGAGCAATACAAAATTCATTCACTGAAGACCTAAACAAGATTTCTGCTCTTAAGTAGTTGCCGATGCCGTTGAAATACTTCTGGTTCAACATTGCTTCACATATAGGCTTATTAAATGCAGGAGAGTGAAGACTTGTTATAACATTTTCTCTGAAGCTCTGGTACTCCCACATTGGGTCTGGACCTCGGTCAAAACCCCAGGTGCCTCCAACTTCCCAGCGGCCAAAGCGACGCTGATCAACAAAACTCAGGACCATTGGGATTTCTTCACTGATGGTGAAGAACCTGTAAGAGCATAATTATATATCAAGACTTCTTATATTTTTGGTAAATTGGCCTAAGACTGCAGTGTCTAAAATTGTTAATCATTTAAAGTTATAGCTATCAAGGAATAACTATTCTTCCAATCTACAGAAATATCCAATTTACTAAAAATATGCAAAAACTGGATATTTTACTGTGAAAAAAAACAGGTGCAGAGCAAGTTTTTTTTTTTTTTAAACAAAACAAATCTGTGTAGAGCTTTATTAAGTCTATATTTATAAGAAATTAAGATTTCATTAATTTTACTGGCATTAACACAAACTACAATCACAACCCCATGACACCTTACCTTAAATGTGAATGTTTGGGCAACTCATCAACAGTCGTGAACTTGAAGGTGCCAGACATCCCAAAACGGAAGACAATATCCAATGTCTTCTCTCCTGTCTTCTGCACCTCGCCATCACACAGAGTCACCTTCAGTTCCTTGCCCCTGGCCACAGCCTGCAGGTGATACACTTCTGACTGCCATGCCACCTCAGGATTCCTCGATACATCAGACTTCACCACACGTCCTCCAAAATGTCTGTTCTGACTTACTGAGTTGATGAAAATTGATGCCAAGAATAACTCGGGTCCCTCAGGCATGATCACAACTTGTTGGTGGTTTATAGGACCACCATCACTGACGCCGTATTCCTCTTCTTGTTATATTAAAAATAATAGTAATTTTATTCCTTTGGGCCAAACAAGGAATGCAGTAGGTATAAATGAATTAAGAAAAAGGTAGGCGTAAAAGAAAGTTACTAATTATTCAACAGATTTCTTGATTTAAGAGATGAGGTTGAGGCTTTATTTTGGTTTATAGGATCACTGACAACTTACGCCGTATCGAGCCATGTTTCCCTATGTATGGAAGAGAAATATTGCCCAATGCTGGACGATGAAAGAAAAGTTTAGCTGTGCCGCCTGAGCGGCTAGTTTATTGTGCACCAATAGCTCATCCTCTGAGCGGTAGCGCATAAAACGGGATTACAGAGGTTACAATGGGTATTTGTTAGACACCACCGAACATTTTTACATCACTAAAAAGAAATATTAGCCTTTTCGTATTCTACAATTACTTCACATAGTTGTTGTACACAGTAAAATAAGGCATACAATCTCAAAAAGTTGATATCGTATTGCCACTAAAAAATAAACACTGACCATAACTGGGTTTCAGTTTTTATAAACACAGTTCATTCATCCAGTCGCAAAATGGGGATACAGCTTCTAAATTTCAGATATCTTATTATTAACAGACACTTTGCCATATACTGTAAAGTTTACATGGAGGTTCCTCAGTAAGGCTGAATGTTTGGACACTAAGATATAATGCTCCAGTGATATAGTCCTAATTAAACCAACTGAACCTTACATCCAGCTTGCTGAAACTGACAACATACTAAATTATTATAATCATAACATACCAAATAATTACTTTTCTACAACAGGATAAAGTCTAGCCGGCAGAATCCTAGCTTCCTATGCCCAGGGGAGTGAGTACCTTACTGGAAGTTCTCCAAACTCACTCTGTCTAGCTCCAACTAATCCTACTGAGGCTACAGTTATAATAAATTCACTGAAAACAAGGTAGGAAACCTAACTAATTTGCCACCACTGATGTACAGAAGGGCAGCTCGTGTCTTGTCACCCTCTACTTCACCATTGCTAAATCATGAAAAACCAGAACTTTCCCAATAATGACTAAGATTGCATGGGTTACCTGATACACAACAAACCACCTGGCCTGGTAGGCAACGCTCTCGCCTCACACAGTAGCGACCAGTGAAGAGGCGGGGCCAGGAGCTAGGACTCTACCCCTGTAACCTCAACTAGGCGAGTACAACTAGATGAGTACACACAGTGTCCGTGGTTCAATTCCCGGCCTGGTGGATATGTTAGGCATGTTTTCTCATACCTGATGTCCCCGTTCAGTTAGAAAGTAAGTAGGTACCGCGGTGTTAGTCGACTGATGTGGGTCGCATCCTGGAGGATAAGATTGAAGGACTCTAATAGAAATAAGTCCTCGATGACCCACTTCCTTACTTGGGTTATCCTGGGTGGCTAACCATCCAAGGTTAAAATCCAAGTAAAGTCTTAACAATCATTCCACGGTCAAAGTCATTTAGCCAACATCTCTCCCCATTTTGAAGTTTGCTCGGGAAAACAACCGAACGTCTTGACCATATCTGCTTGCTTTTAGGCATTGAGGTGCTGTCACGTGATTGGCTGATTAGATATTAACGAGAAAGTGTACAGGTGTACCTAATAAAGTGGCCACTTAGTATAATGCAAGGTTCATGTAAATAACAAGATATAACACAAAACAAAATCCAAATTTCTTGAGAAAATTCTTGAAATGAGAAGAGAATACTGAAAACATTTTCATAATAATAATAATAATAATAATAATAATAATAATAATAATAATAATAATACGAAAGGATATGTATTACAAACATTAAGAAGGGTATATATGTGTCAGTGTGTGTGTGTGTCTGTGTAAGGGTGTAAGTGTCACGTAGAACACCAGGAGGCACTGTAGGTGGAGAGCCATATGTAGCTGTAGATGGTGGTCCAGGTGGCGGCAGTGCAGGTGATGAAGGTGGTGATCAGGTTCTTGGTGGTGCTCGGTGACCCACTGCTGGGTGGTGGTGCTGCATCGTGCTGCATCGCAGCAGAGTTCTCACCTGCGGAACACTATGTATGCTGTAATAAGCCTCTCACACGCAGACATAGAACAGCAGATGGTGCGGGGGAAAGGAATTTTATGCTAGAATTAATTTTAGTTTTGATGTAAAGAAAGAATACAAGTATTTACCATTGGTGAAATATACTACGGAACGTTTCGCCCATTAGAGCATTTTATAGATCTCTGATGGACGAAACGTCTTTTGTACTAATGCCCTAAAGCACCCACTGAGTCTTATTCACATGAAGATTACAAGCGATTCACTACTCAGATATGGTAAACATGAGGAAATTAAATCTTCATCAGAGTACAAAACAAATTCTGGCCACAAAATAGAGCGAAACACCAACGTCAAAGACCTGGGAGTGATTATGTCGGAGGATCTCACCTTCAAGGACCATAACATTGTATCAATCGCATCTGCTAGAAAAATGACAGGATGGATAATGAGAACCTTCAAAACTAGGGAGGCCAAGCCCATGATGACACTCTTCAGGTCACTTGTTCTATCTAGGCTGGAATATTGCTGCACTCTAACAGCACCTTTCAAGGCAGGTGAAATTGCCGACCTAGAAAATGTACAGAGAACTTTCACGGCACGCATAACGGAGATAAAACACCTCAATTACTGGGAGCGCTTGAGGTTTCTAAACCTGTATTCCCTGGAACGCAGGAGGGAGAGATACATGATTATATACACCTGGAAAATTCTAGAGGGACTAGTACCGAACTTGCACACGAAAATCACTCACTACGAAAGCAAAAGACTTGGCAGACGATGCACCATCCCCCAATGAAAAGCAGGGGTGTCACTAGCACGTTAAGAGACCATACAATAAGTGTCAGGGGCCCGAGACTGTTCAACTGCCTCCCAGCATACATAAGGGGGATTACCAACAGACCCCTGGCAGTCTTCAAGCTGGCACTGGACAAGCACCTAAAGTCAGTTCCTGATCAGCCGGGCTGTGGCTCGTACGTTGGTTTGCGTGCAGCCAGCAGCAACAGCCTGGTTGATCAGGCGCTGATCCTCCAGGAGGCCTGGTCACAGACCGGGCCGCGGGGGCGTTGACCCCCGAAACTCTCTCCAGGTAAACTCCAGGTAAACTACCGAGTGAGACTGTCGACAGAAATAAAAAGAGGTTATGTTTTGGTTACGTGGAAATGGAAGTAAAATCAAGAACATCAAGAATCATAGAAGATCCATGTATCTACGAGATGACAAAATGCTTTGTGTATTTTAGCATTCACGAGTATATAGTGGTGATATAGTCACACACACACACACACACACACACACACACACACACACACACAACAGGCCTAGTGTCTAATCGACATGTGCCTAGGACAAAATAGTAACTAACACACACAGAGGATGAACCAGCAATGCTGGACCTTGTATTCACCCTGAGTGGTTCCGACATAGGGTTATCACTTATTAAATGTCCCTCGGCACTAGCAGTCACATGATTCTGAGTTTTGAATTCCTTGAGGAATTAACAGTGGAGAGTGAAGCAGCACAGGAAGGAGGCGAGAAGCCAGACTTCAAAAGAAAGTACTACACAAGCATGAGGCAGTTCCTGTATGAGGAGCAATGAGAAAGAGAACTAGAGGGAAAGACAGTGAATGAGATGATGGAGTATGTGGCCAGACAGTGCAGGGAGGCAGAAGAAAAGTTCGTACCCAGGAGGAAATGAAACAACGGAAAAACCAGAGTGAGCCATGGTTTATCAAGAGGTGTAGAGAGGCCGAAGCCAAATGTGTTACATCATGGAAAAAATATGGAAGACAAAGAATTCAGGTAAATGAGGAGCTGAGTCGAAGAGCCAGAAACAAGCATGCATAGATAAGAAGGGGGGCTCAGCGGCAATTTGAGAATGACATAGCATCGAAAGTCAAATTCTGCCCAAAGTTGTTATAGCCAAGCCAACAGTCAGAGACCAGGTAACCAGGCTGAAGAAATGAGTTGGGGAACTCACAAGGAATGACCAAGAAGTCTGTGAATAGCTCAGCATGACATTTAAAGAGGTATTCTCAGAGGAGACAGAAAGGTTACTAACAAATCTAAGGCATAGAGTGCTCCAGGCAGTGTTGGACACAATACACACAACCGGTGACGAAGCTGCTATGTGAGTTAGACACCTCAAAGTCGGTGGGACTATATAATATCTCTGTGGGTGCTGAGAGAGGGAGCAGAGGCACTGTGTGTGCCGCTAGCAACAATATTCAACAAGTCTATCGAAACAGGGCAACTGCCAGAGTTGTGGAAGACAGCAAATACAGTCCCAATTTTTAAGAAAGGAAACAGACAGGCAGCATTAAACTACAGATAATGTCACTGACATGTACAGTCTGTAAAGTTATGGAGATTGTCAGAAGGGTCGTCGAGCACCTAGAAAGAAGTTTATCATACATGACAACCAGCAGAGCTTCAGGAATGGAAAATCGTGTCACGGACCTACTGGAGTTCTGTGACAAGGTAACAAAAGTAAGACAGGGGAGATGGAATAATAATAATTGCATTTTCTTGGACAATAAGAAGGCTTTTGACACAGTACCGCACAAGAGACTGGTACAAAAGCTAGAGAAGGCAGGAATGACAGGATAAACACTACAGTAGAGCAAAACATTCCTGACAGGAAGGAAACAACGAGTGATAGTCCGTGGCGATGTGTCGAAATAGGTGCATGTGATGAGTGGGGTTCCACAAGAATCAGTCTTAGGGCTGGTGCTGTTTCATGCATTTGTGAATAACATGACAGAAGAGATAGAGTAAGAGGTATTCCTGTTCGCAGATGACGTGAAACTAATGAGGAGAATACAAGCGGAAGAGGACCCGGAAAGGCTACAAAGGAATCTGGTCAGGCTACAAGCCTGGTCTGACAAGTGGCTCTTAGAGTTTAATCTTGCCAAGGACAAAGAATACCGCAGTCAGAGTACGGACTCAGGGGGGCAAAGGATGCAAACCTCACACCCGGATATATACATGTATTCTCTTTGGACTGACCTGCAAGGACGTGAACGGTGACGGTGTCGCTGGTGTAGTTACTGTACCAGCAGGAGTACACGCCAGAGTCAGCAGGTGTCGTGTCTGCTATGTAGAGACGACTCCTGACGTAGCCCCAGGTGGCGTCTCCCCTCACACTGTGTGGGGGATAGAGAGAGGGGGAAGTTAATGAAGGAGAGAGAGAGAGAGAGAGAGAACGAAGGAGAAAGAGAGAAATGGAGAGAAAGACAGAGAATGAAGTACCTAAAGATACTCACCTGATGCCTCCCCTGGAAGTGTTGAAGACCAGGATGGTGGTTCCCCTACGCCAGGTGACGGTGCGGGAGGGGAAGGGCACCTGGTCGATGACACACTTCAGTTCTATCATGCTGCCGCTGTTGTAATGTTTCTCCTCCACGTCTCGCCCTCGTTCATCCACCACACGCGCCCGTGGCTCTGTCAGGGACACGTACATTTCTCAGGGACACGGACACACACACACACAGTTCGGTTAATATCATGCCAGTCGTTGAAAAAAGGCACCCTTTCAGAAATGTTGAGTAATAATATTTACAGGAATAAGAGAGAGAGAGAGAGAGAGAGAGAGAGAGAGAGAGAGAGAGAGAGAGAGAGAGAGAGAAGAGAGAGAGAGAGAGAGAGAGAGAGAGAGAGAGAGAGCAGGTAGTAGTAGTGTTAGAAACTAGATCAGTGAGTTGAGACTGAATGAAGAGCTGTTGTGGCGATTCCAACAGAATGTGGACAACGACACTTACGCAGTGTTCAACATGTTCATCGAGGTAATGTTTCACCACCAGGACTAAAGAAGCCATTCTTGGCGTAACTTTTCATCAGCAAAAGTCCTGAACTGTGAACTGTGCAGATGAGTCTTTGTGCGCGAGATGAGATTCGTTGCCTGTGCGGGAAACGTCAATTATATTGCAAAACATGAGATGTGGTCTTAATTTTAAAAGGGCGAGCCTTGCCTGCCGAATGTTACGTTAATTTCAGAGGTTTAAGTTGTTTCACTGTCATAGAAACAAAAGAAAGAGAGGCGGGGTGGCGTTCTATGTCTTAAAAATGGAATTGTCGCTGTTTTTTTTTTCAGTCGTGGTTTTGACCTCTGTACCTCGGTGATGAGGGCAGCGATTTTCACCACTAAGTTCACTAAGCAAAGGCAACTCAAATGTTGAAAATGGTATATAATCCCTACAAGTTGAAGAAAAAGACATGTGCAACAATGCAATGCCTGATGTTGACTGAAACATTTCGCCTACACAGTAGGCTTCTTCAGTCAAATACATTGCAACACAATGGCATCTTGGTACAGAAGAGAAAACGCCTTGGACAACTTTTTCAATTGAGAATTGTTTGATCTGAGAGGGACATGACCTCCCAGTGGCTACATTCTCACTACTACTGCTCTGCACTTCTCCTTCCGACAGTATTTAAGTCTCGACGCTGTAGCTTGATCTTCAGTTAGTTCCAGACTTTGGAACAGAACTTCTCCAGGCTGAGGGACTGACAACCTCAAATCTACGACTTCAAGGGTGATGGACTGATTACATCGTATTCACGTCTCTAATGTTCCTGCCTACTTTCTGTAGTCTACTGAAGCCTACTGTGTAGGCGAAACGTTTCGGAATAAAGTTGCCTAAATGTTGCTTATGTGTCTTATCTATCAAATACAGAGATGATGTAATCAGTCTATCAGCCTTGGAGAAATAGTTTTTGAGGTGGTCAGTCCCTCAGCCTGGAGAAATCTTAAGCTCCATAGTCTAGAACAATTTTAAGGTGAAACATAATGTTCAGGTAGGTTCGCCAGGACGGGTCCTGGCCCGGGTCTTCTCCATGCGGCGACCCGGCAACAGGCTGAAGGAGGTTCAGGTAGGTTAGCCAGGATCAGTCCTGGCGAATGGTGAGAAGGTGAGGTGGGAAGGTGTGGATGACGTAGCAGGAGGCAGGGACCACTGGTAGAATAGGGTGAGAATTTGAGGTACACTGCAGGGGTCCTACTGGTATATGCTCAGCAGGTTCTCCTTGATTCTGATGGATTGAACATATCGACTCCAGGACGAGGGACTGATTACCTAATACTCCTCCTCGTCTTCCTGTTTTTCTATATTGGACTGAAGAAGCCACTGGCTGGCGAAACATTTCCTCAGTAAAGACTCCCAAGTGTTGCGCAAGAGTCTTATTATTCAACTGTCTGGGCAGAATTTCCAAACTAATGTTATGAGCGATTATATTGACTTCCGAAATTGGAAAAAGGAAAAAGAACTTCTTCGGGACTTTTCTTGTTAAATCTTTATACATAGCACCGACCAATGAGAGCAGACGATTCCATAACGTCATATTCAGAATTTGCCAGTGATTGGCCAATGATTAACGTCACTCTAACCTCTTCCGATGATCGTAAGCTTTTACGTTACGTCAACCCAGCGCCAACCAACAAGTGTATGCGATTACATGGCATTATCTTATGCGCTTTCTAACGACTGATCATTCACTGTTGTCACCGTAGCATCCACCAATGAGCGAGCGTGATTCTGTGACGTCACCGTGGCACTAACCACTGTAATTAGACCACTCACTAGCCCTGCTAATGATTAACCAATCAGCGACGACCAGTCATCCACTTACCAATGACAGTGAGGGTAGCAGAGAGCAGAAGCGGAGGTTGGGTAGCCACCTGGCAACAGTACTGGCCCTCGTCTTCCAGCTGTGTATCGTGGATCACCAGCTGCCAGCTGCGCCACCTGTCTCCAGACTCACGGATCAACGAGTACCTAAAAAGAGAGATTTCATCTTTAATTTCCGTCTTCTGAAATTTTCACTTAACACTCAAGTCTCAGTCTTAGCAAGCGTCCCTCGGAACGAATCTGCTGAAATTTCTTACTTATTTCTGCAACTTTGCAAGCTCCTGATGATGTGTTGATTCCAACACGAAAGGCCTAGAGTTATTATTCAACTCCCCCTCTGGAAGCAGAAGGACTGATGATCTTAATATTTATTTCTTCAGGGTTGAGGGACCGATGACACATTTACCCCTACACTACTTGTACTGTCTCTAATATTTATGTCACTCCTGTATTTTGACTGGAGAAGCCCGTTGAGCAAGAGAAATAATTCTGCAGTGAAGATAACCAGTTGTTGCACATGTATCTTATCTGTATCTTCGGAATAAGGATATCTTGTTCCAAGATTTCTTTATTCCAAAATGTTTCGCCTACACAGTAGACTTCTTCAGTCGAGTACAGAAGATTGAGTAGAAGCAGCAATGATGTGAAGACGATGTCATCAGTCCATCACCCTTGAAGATGTAATTTCGAGGTGGTCAGTCCCTCAGTCTAAAGAGTTTTGCTTCATAGTCTGGGACTTTGTTCCAGCAAAACTCTTCTCCAGGCTGAGGGACTGACTACCTCAAAACTACGTCTTCAAGGGTGATGGACTGATGACATCTTTACATCTCTTCTGCTCACTCTTCTGTAACAGCAGCTTTTTGACTTGTGACCTGACAATGCTCCAGGACGGAGCGAAACGTCGTCATACGTTTCTTCTATGTATTTTCTGTTCTCTAGATAGAGAGGTAAGGAATCAACACGTATCACTTCATCTTACCCAACCTAGACATCGAACCCTAGCTCCTTCTGTTGTGAGCCGAGCAGTCTAGAATTTAGTTACAGGTCATCTCTTCACCTTATTACAATCAAAATTAAAAAGAAACACAAAATTTAAATTACGATTGATTGTCGATGTTAGACAATCGTTCAAGACGAGCCCAATCGTTATTGGGTTGTCCATTTCCATTTTCGAGTTAGTTGTCCATAATTATACAAGATTTTTAATTAAAAGACAAAAAATATATAATCCTTGCAATAAAACATATTTAGTAAATAACAAAAGCTGCAACTTGTGCGAAACGTTGTGGCCTCTGACCTTCAAAACTGAATTTTTTTTTTAGATATTATAGTTCTAATATGTACGAGTATAAATAGGTAATGCATTGTATGTGTAGAAATTTGTTCCCTGAAGGGACAATGCTTCTTTCTGACTCCCATTAAAGCTAGCTCCCGTGAAAACTCTAATTTCTCACAACTATCCAACCAGATGACAGAAATCTTCCTTCCTCTCTCACTCTATAATAACGTTGATAGAATTACCGACAATTTGTCGGACATTGCACCTTACTCTGTACCTATATATACCTCTGTGTGTCCATGTATTGTTTGTAACGGCTTGACGAAGCTCCTGGAGAGCGAAACGTTGCCTCAATAAAGTGTCACATTCTTTGCCCTTGTGTTCTTTTACCCAACCCGCGTGAGAAAATGTACTTTAGAGACGTCAAGATCCACTTCACGTTTTTAATTTAGTTACTGACGTTATTTAGGTGAAGTTAAGTTAGGTTAGGTTAAGTTAATTTAGCCTAAAGAAGAATAATGTGTTAAAATTTTGAAGTCCTGTGACCTTGTTACGCATTTGAAGCTACCAATTCCCAGGACAGAAACGTGTCCAATAAAGGTGTACTAAGTACGTACTCCTGTCATTTTCTAAAGGAAATTGACAAGAAAAATATCAATATGATGAAGTGAATAAGGGTCACTCGAGCGATGGTTTCCTACGCACCGCGACCTCGACCTTATATCGAGGCAGCAGCTCTTCATTGCCATATAAATGATGCCGACTCTGGAGGAAACCTTCACTGAGATGTTTTCACTCATGGGGTCGTGGTACTGGATGACCCCTGGTCTGTGGTCTTCCTGTAGGGCCTGACAAGCGCCCACTCCTCCTCTCTGCCCCGAATCAGGGTGCCTAGCTAATGACGTTTGCCTTTCTAGGGCACTGCAGATGTGCGGCAGCTTTTCCACTATGATGGCCCTTAGTGCCTCCGGGGAGACGGTAACCCCGTGTGTCTCAAAGATCGTCTCCAGTTTGAAGGAGTCCAAAGCTTTAAGAAAATTGTTATATGCAGCTTTCTCCACCCGACCCAGCATTCTCATCCTATAAATACTTACGTATATTTCACCCAGGTAGATCTGTTTGTGACTTGATAAAGCGCACTGTGTGGTTGAAACGTTGTCAATAAAGGATCACATTATACTGTATATGTGTTTATATTTCCAGGAAGCGCCCACCGGAGCTTCTTTTCCAGGCTGGTGGCGTCGTTGTCGTTGACGTCTGCCTGAGAGACGTCATGTTTCAGGCTTGTGGCGTCGTTGTCGTTGACATCTGCTTGAGGGTCATCCTCTTCCGGGCTGGTGGCATCGTTGACGTTGACGTCTGCCTGAGGGTCGTCTTGTTCCAGGCTGGTGGCGTCGATGTCGTTGACGTCTGGATGAGAGACGTCCTCTTCACAAAGTTCCCTCAACGTTGGTACTGTCTTCTTTTCAAACATTTTGAAAAATTATTTTAAAAGTGAAGAAAAGTTAATAACAACTGCCGTGAGAAGCTGAAGACCAGAGAGGAGTGAAAGTCAGTTGTGACGCTAGCTGAAACTCACCAGGTGGTTACAAGTGTAGTGAGTTATAAAACCAATATGACCACACCAGCCTAGGTGGCTAGACCAGCCAGGTAAAGTTGAGCCCCATCAGGCAAGTGGCCAGACCAGCCAGTTGGACACACACTCTCTTTACTACAAACACACGTAAGGAGACGGTGATGCACAGACTAATAACATACTCCATCCTTCTGGGCTGCTGGAGTTTCTTTTACCTTGAATGATCTGTGGGATTTTTAAGAAGTCTCCTTTTATAAACAAACACACACACACACACAATATATATATATATATATATATATATATATATATATATATATATATATATATATATATAATATATATATATATTAATTTTTTTATTATCACACTGGCCGATTCCCACCAAGGCAGGGTGGCCCGAAAAAGAAAAACTTTCACCATCATTCACTCCATCACTGTCTTGCCAGAAGGGTGCTTTACACTACAGTTTTTAAACTGCAACATTAACACCCCTCCTTCAGAGTGCAGGCACTGTACTTCCCATCTCCAGGACTCAAGTCCAGCCTGCCGGTTTCCCTGAACCCCTTCATAAATGTTACTTTGCTCACACTCCAACAGCACGTCAAGTATTAAAAACCATTTGTCTCCATTCACTCCTATATATATACAAATATATATATATATATATATATATATATATATATATAACACAACAACTAACTAACACACACACACACACACACACACACACACACACACACACACACACACACACACACACACACACACACACACACAACACACACACACACACACACACACACGTGTCGTGCCGAATAGGTAAAACTGATCATTTAGCAAGAACTCATTTAAACTTAAGTCCTCTAAAGTTTTCTCTTATACATTTAAAGATATATTTTTTCATTTATGTTGATATAAAAATTAATGATTTTGCATCAAAAGTACCTTAGGAAACTTACCTAACCTTATTATAACAAGCGCAATTTAATTTAGCCTAATCCAACTAAATGTATTTTAGATAAGTTTACAATAATTTATTAATAAAAAAGCACTATGAAATATATTTTTTTTCGTTAGGGTCAGAATGATTTTTGCGAAGTTACTGCATACACAAATTCTCGCTTGGTTTATTCGACAGGAAGAGTGTTGCTATTTAAGCCAAAATCGTAAGTTTTACTTAATCAGCACGACATATATATATATATATATATATATATATATATATATATATATATATATAATATATATATATATATATATATATATATATATAATATATATAATATATTTATTGAAATGCTTTAATATTTGTTATTTTGCTTAATGTTTAATTGTGTGATTTTTAGGTATCGTGTCAATCTCTTAAAGGTATCCCTGAAGAGATACCTTTAAGAGAGCAACAATTTTTTTTGTTCCTCTAAGGTTTATCTTACAACTTGGGAACGTCTCACCTGATAGGCTTCAAATTTCAAATGCTGGTGCACTGTAGTTAGGGAAAGATTCAAACAACTTGCGATGTTAGCGAGTAATATTAGCCCTTCTGTGCCCGTTTTCCTTAAACTGGATAGCTTCAATCCCCTGGAACAAAAGCCTTCATCAGCATCAACCTCCCTTTTCCCCACCCCGGTACCTTGCTGGAGGGGAAGATTAGAAGTGGAGGTTAAGTTATACAGTCAAAGAATCTAGTCGATCCTTGCTTCTAATGGAATTCCTAGATATGTGTCCAGCGTTTTCGCGTTGGGTTGAATTAGCAGAAAGACAACACAGTGCTCCTTGGGAGGCGCAGTCTGCACCACACAACTGCGAAATTGCACTGCTGTAAAATAGTGAGATGATAAAGTATGTTTTAGAGTCCCGTAATGCAACCAGAGAGAGAGAGAGAGAGAGAGAGAGAGAGAGAGAGAGAGAGAGAGAGAGAAAGAGAGAGAGAGAAAGAAGGGAAGAGTAGGGGAGAAAGAGATTTCTGCTCTACCATGCTGACATTATATGTTTAGATGAGGGAGGTAAGTAGGGAGGAGGAGGAGCAGGAGCAGGAGAAGGAGGAACAACAACAACAACAACAACAACAGCAACAGTAGTAGCAACAACAGCAGCAACAACAGCATCAGGAGACTGTATTAGCCCCAACATACAGCCTCAGTACAGACTGCTCTGCCCTGGGCCGCCTCTGGAATGCTTTCACGGAATGATTCACAATTTCCCTCCTGTCCTTCCTCGACGATTTGCTTCTCATTTTTCTTGTCCGATCACCCGGTCGTTCACCGGGAGGTTCTGGCAGTACGACCCTGTACCAATATACCGGTGATTCATAGGTAATTTACCGATGATTTACTAATAATTTACCAGTAATTTACCAGGTAGTTAACCGGTCATTTACAATTTCCACATTTCCTTCAATTTCCGTTTACTATCCCCGTCTATGTCCCTCTCTTTCCCTCTTCTATTCTGTGTTTTTCCTCTCCATCTTTCTTCCTCAGGTCTTTCTTTTTCCACTTTCTCGTTTTTGAGTCTCGCTTCCCCACATTACTTGCTAAATTATGGGCTAAATTTATAGTTCTCGCTGCCATGTTTTCCGACTGACGTAGCCTAGTGGTCACACTGGCGACTCTCTTCTTCCCCAACACTGGTTCTCTCTACGGACGAAGGATCGAGCCTCCATTGGGAAAAAAAAACCTCATAATACACATAAAGCGAAATTATTTACTTAAAAGTTAATTTAAGAATTATTAATTTAAAAACGATTTTTTAATTTTTTTTCTATTTCTCCATTATTGTTGCTGTTTGTCCAAGCCTTTTTTTTTTTACTGTTATTCTGTTCATCCAGTCCTGTTTCTCTACTGCTGATATGTTTATTCAATCCTGTTTCTGTACTGTTCTGTTTGTACAGTCCTGTTTATGTACTTTTGTTTTGTTTTCCCAATCCTGGTGCGGTACTGTTGCTGTGTGTGCCCAATATTGTTTCTGTACTATTGTTTTGTTTATTCAGTGTTGTTTCTGTACTGTCGTCCTGTTCATTCAGTGTTTCTGTACTGTTGTTCTGTTGTTCAGCTTTGTTCTTTATTGCAGTTCAGTCTTTTACCGAGTTTCTGAAAAAATAACTATTTCTCTCTTCTTTGCGTCTCCTACATTTGGGTTTGGGTTAGGCTTTAGCAGTTGTTTACCAATATTACGTTACAACTGCCTCTAAACATCGTCTTGTATGTCTCACATGATCGTGCGCCTTATATGCCGGAGAATGCAGTACTTACAAATCATATTTACATAGTAGCTCGGCTTATTACTACTTCCCTCGGTATTCCTTATTGTTCCACTGATTTTCTTGTGATGGTGGTGGTGATGTGGACTGTGTTAGTTGCAGATTGTGTTTGTTGTGGATTGTGTGTGTTGTGGATTGTGGTAGTGTTTCATTTTCACGAAGCCCTAAACACGCATGGGTCAGGCAGCGCAAGGAGTGGCTGTGGCTCCCATTTGCAAATTGTGGCCTGAGTTTGTGATCACAAAGGTTGTTGGTAGTCACATAAGAAGGAAGTGTGAGCTAAGTGACTTTGACAGTGGAATGATTGTTGGTGACAGATGGGGTGGTTTGAGTATGTCAGAAACTGCTGATCTCTTGGGATTTACACACACAACAGTCTCTAGAGTTTTCAGCGAATGGTGTGAAAAACACAAAACAGTTAACTAAACGACAGTTCTATGAGCAAAAACGTGGTATGCAGAAGAGCATCTCTGAATGCACAACACGCCAGACCTGAAGTGAATGGGTCACAGCAGCAGAAGACCACACCGGGTTCCACATCTGTCAGCTGTGATTACAACGGGCACAGGCTCGCTAAAACTGGATATTTGAAGATCGGACAAACGCCGCCTGGTCTATCGAATCGCGATTTCTACAGATGGTAGGGTCAGAATTTGGTGCAAACTTTTGGGACGTAATGGGACGGGAGATTCGTAGCATGAATGTTCAGCCGACAAATATGCAGCAACTGCGTGATCCTATCATGTCAACATAGACCAGAATCTCTAAAGAATGTTTACTCTGCCTAGTTGAACTCACGAACGATGATCTTTGAAACTTCTGGTATATATAATAGCCAAGCAGTAGGAATACTGGTCTCGCTAGCAGACCGAATACTGGTTTCCCAAGCAGCAGAAATACTAGCCCTCTTAGCAGCATTACTGCCGGTCTTCCTAGCAGACAGAAATACTGGCCTCCGTTGCAGGCAAAAACAATTTACCAGGGAACTAGTGTTCAAGGTATGGCAGCATCATTTTACTCTCAACATATACTAAGGAAGTTGCTTGTGTCTTGCTGCTGAGGGTGACGATGATGGGGCGTGGGAGGAGGAAGACGATAGGACGTGAGGGTAAGACGATAATGGGACTTGGGGGAGGAAGAAGTTAGGATGTAAGGGGAGGACGATGATGGGGCGTGAGGGGAGGACTAACCTAAAGACTCACCTGAAGACTCACTCACCTGAGGACTCACCTGGTGTCACTGGTGTAGGTGTGGGTGCTCCAGGTTAAGAGTTCCAACACGTCGTCAACACGTCGCAGCCATGACACCTGACGGAGGCACGTGAGGTCAAAGCTAAGGTTAAGTCAAAGACAATTGAGGTCAGCTTTCAGATGACAGTCAAAATAAGCCTGTTTAATTATTTCGCACGAGCTTAACCTACGATTGTTAGATCATTATTATTACAGTTATTATTTTTGTTGCTGATGTTTTTGTGCTGTGTTTGCTGTTTTTGTTGTTGCTAAACAGACACACACACACAAATACATACAACTACACACACGCATACAGGAGGCCAAGGCAGGAGTATGATGAGAGCAATAGAGCAATGGTTGACACTGGCTGAAGTGGCCAGAAGCGCTCATGCAAGCAGGGCAAAGCTGTTGATTGTGAGTGACTTCAATCACAAGGAAACTGACCGGGAGAACCTGGAGCCACATGGGGACCCAGAAAAGTGGAGGGCTAAAATGATGGAGGTGGTACTGGAAAACTTCATGTACCAACACGTAAGGGACACTACCAGAGAGGAGAGGATGAACCAGCAAGACTGGACCTAGTTCACCTCGAGTAGTGCAGATACTGAGGACATCACATATGAAAGACCCCTCGGGGCCAGTGGTCACGTGGTTCTGAGCTTTGAATACATAGTAGAGTTACAAGTGGAGAGAGAAGCAGGAAGGGTCGGACGTATGAAGCCAAACTACAAGAAAGGGGACTACGCAGGCATGAAGAATTTCCTGCAAGAGGTTCATTAGGACAGAGAATTGGCAGGGAAGTCTGTAAACGAGATGATGGAATATATGACAACAATGTGCAATGAAGCTGAGGAGAGGTTTGTACCCAAGGGTAACAAAAATAACGAGAAAGCCAGGATGAGCGCTTGGTTCACCCAAAGGTGTAGGGAGGCCAAAACCAAGTGTGCTAGAAAATGGAAGAAGTATAGAAGGAAAAGGACCCGGGAGAACAAGGAGAGCAGTCGTAGAGCCAGAAATGAATATGCACAGGTAAAAAGGGAGGCTCAACGACAATACGAAAACGACATAGCAGTGAAAGCCGTATCTGATCCGAAGCTATTGTACAGACACATCAGGAGGAAAACAACAGTCAAGGACCAGGTGATAAGGCTGAGGAAGGAAGGAGGGAAGTTCACATGAAACGACCTCGAAGTATGTGATGAGCTCAACACGAGGTTCAAAGAAATGTTCACAGAGGCGACAGAAGGGACTCCAGAAAGACACAGAGATGGGGTACACCAAGTGTTGGACACAATACATACAACCGCGCTGGATACTTCAAAGGCGATGCGGCTATGTATATCACTAACAACAATATTCAACACATCTATCGAAAAAGGACGACTACCTGAGGTATGGAAGACAGCAGACGTTGTCCCAATTTTTAAAAAAAGGAGACAGATACGAAGCATTAAACTACAGTCCAGTGCCACTGACATGTATAGAATGCAAAGTCACGGAGAAGATTATCTGGAGAAGAGTGGTGGAACACCAAGAAAGGAATGAGCATATCAATGACAGCCAGCACGGTTTCAGGGATGGGAAATCCTGTGTCACAAACCTACTGGAGTTCTATGACAGGGCGACAGCAGTAAGACAAGAGAGAGAGGGGTGGGTAGATTGCATTTTCTTGGAATGTAGGAAGGCGTTTGACACAGTTCCACACAGGAGGTTAGTGCAAAAGCTGGAGGACCAGGCAGGGATAATAGGGAAGGTACTGCAATGGATCAGAGAATACCTGTCAGGAAGACAACAGCGAGTCATGGTACGTGGCGAGGGGTCAGAGTGGGCGCCTGTGACAAGCGGGATTCCACAGGGGTCAGTTCTAGGACCGGTGCTGTTTCTGGTATTTGTAAACGACATGACGAAAGGAATAGCTTCAGAAGTGTCCCTGTTTGCTTGCAGATGACGTGAAGTTGATAATTCAATCGAATGAAGACCAGGCAGAACTACAAAGGAATCTGGACAGGCTGTAGGCCTGGTCCAGCAACTGGCTCTTGGAGTTCAGTCCCACTAAGTGCAAAGTCATGAAGATTGGGGAAGGGCAAAGAAGACCGCAGACGAAGTATAGTCTAGTGGGCCAAAGACTACAAACCTCACTTAAGGAAAAGGATCTTGGGGTGAGTATACCACCAGGCACATTTCCTGAGGCGCACATCAACCAAATAACTACTGCAGCATATGGGCGCCTAGCAAACCTAAGAACAGCATTCCGACATCTCAATAAGGAATCATTCATGACCCTGTACACCGTGTACGTTAAGCCTATGTTGGAGTATGCAGCACCAGTTTGGAACCCGCACGTTGCCAAACACGTAAGGAAACTAGAGAAAGTGTAAAGGCTTGCAATAAAACTAGTCTCGGAGCTAAGGGGCATGCCCTACGAGGAGAGGTTAAGGGAAATCAATCTGACGACACTGGAGGACAGGAGAGATAGGGGGGATATGATAATGACATTTAAAATACTGAGAGGAATTGACAAGGTGGACGGAGACAGGATGTTCCAGAGATGGGACACAGCAACAAGGGGTCACAGTTGGAAGTTGAATCACAGGGATGTTAGGAAGTATGTCTTCAGTCAGAGAGTTGTCAGGAAGTGGAATAGTCTGGGAAGTGGTGTAGTGAGGGTAGGATCCATTCATAGCTTTAAGAAGAGGTATGATAAAGCTTATGGAGCAGGAAGAGTGACCCAGTAGCGACTAGTGAAGAGGCGGGGCCAGGAACGATGAATCGACCCCTGCAATCACATCTAAATGAGTACAACTAAGTGAGTAGAACCACATACACACACGCACAAGGGAAGGGCAAAGAAGACCACAAACAGAGTATAGGCTAGGTGGCCAAAGACTGCAAACCTCACAAAAGGAAATGGATCTTGGGATGAGTATATTACCGAGCACATCTCCTGAGGCGCACATCAACCAGATAACTGCCACAGCACATGGGCGCCTGGCAAACCTAAATATAGCGTTCCGATTCCTCAGTAGGGAATCGTTCAAGACTCTGTACACCGTGTATGTCAAGCTCATATTGGAGTATGCAGCACCAGTTTTGAACCCACACCTGGTTATGCAGGTGAAGAAATTAGAGAAAGTGCAAGGGCTTGCAACAAGATTAGGTCCAGAGCTAAGGGAATGTCCTGCGAAGAAAGGTTAAGGGAAATCGGTCTGACAACACTGGAGGACAGGAGGGTTGGGAGGACATGATAACGACATTCGATATACTGCGAGGCATTGACAAGGTGGACAGAGACAGGATGTTCCAGAGATGGGGTCACAATTGAAAGTTGAAGACTCAGATGAGTCAAAGGGATGTTAGGAAGTATTTCTTCAGTCGTAGAGTTGTTAGGAAGTGGAATAGTCTGGTAAGTGACGTAGTGGAGGCAGAAACCATACATAGTTTTAAGACGAGATTTGATAAAGCTCATGGAGCAGGGAAAGAGAGGACCTAGTAGCGATGGGTGAAGAACCGGAGCCCAGGAGCTATGAATCGGCCCCTGCAAGCACAAATAGGCGAGTACAAATAGGTGAATACACAAACATACACACACTGGAGGACCAAGCAGGGATAACAGGGAAGGCACTACAATGGATCAGGGAATACTTGTCAGGAAGACAGCAGCGAGTAATGGTACGTGGCGAGGTGTCAGAGTGGGCACCTGTGACCAGCGGGGTCCCACAGGGGTCAGTCCTAGGACCAGTGCTGTTTCTGGTATTTGTGAACGACATGACGGAAGGAATAGACTCTGAGGTGTCCCTGTTTGCAGATGACGTGAAGTTGATGAGAAGAATTCACTCGATCGAAGACCAGGCAGAACTACAAAGGGATCTGGACAGGCTGCAGACCCGGTCCAGCAATTGGCTCCTGGAGTTCAATCCCACCAAGTGCAAAGTCATGAAGATTGGGAAGGGCAAAGAAGACCGCAGACGGAGTACAGTCTAGGGGGCCAGAGACTACAAACCTCACTCAAGGAAAAAGATCTTGGGGTGAGTATAACACCAGGCACATCTCCTGAAGCGCACATCAACCAAATAACTGCTGCAGCATATGGGCGCCTAGCAAACCTCAGAACAGCATTCCGACATCTTAATAAGGAATCATTCAGGACCCTGTACACCGTGTACGTTAGGCCCATATTGGAGTATGCGGCACCAGTTTGGAACCCACACCTAGCCAAGCACGTAAAGAAACTAGAGAAAGTGCTAAGGTTTGCAACAAGACTAGTCCCAGAGCTAAGAGGTATGTCCTACGAGGAGAGGTTAAGGGAAATCAACCTGACGACACTGGAGGATAGGAGAGATAGGGGGACATGATAACGACATACAAAATACTGAGAGGAATTGACAAGGTGGACAAAGACAGGATGTTCCAGAGATTGGACACAGTAACAAGGGGACACAGTTGGAAGTTGAAGACACAGATGAATCACAGGGATGTTAGGAAGTATTTCTTCAGCCACAGAGTAGTCAGTAAGTGGAATAGTTTGGGAAGCGATGTAGTGGAGGCAGGATCCATACATAGCTTTAAGCAGAGGTATGATAAAGCTCACGGCTCAGGGAGAGTGACCTAGTAGCGATCACTGTAGAGGCGGGGCCAGGAGCTCGGACTCGACCCCCGCAACCTCAACTAGGTGAGTACAACTAGGTGAGAGTACACACACACACACACACACACATACACACACACACACACACACACACACACATGAATGTGTGTTAGGAATTACAACACACACACAGCAAAATAACACCCACCAGGCCAAGTGTCTATCTGCAAGTGCCTTTGACAACTAATAACTACACACATACCGGTTCATCAGAAGGTTCGTAGATTAAACAGTCGAGGGTAGCACTCTCCCCTAGGTGCACCCTGACGTGGGTGTTACTCACTCCTAGGTGTGGTTTTCTGATCTCTTCATTCTCACCCCCTTCCTTATGCTTTTCTTCTTTCTCCTCCTCCGTTTCCCAGAGAGTCGTGGAGCCGTCGTATTGGGTGTTGTGGCCGTTCTGGCGTTCCCTATAGTCCGTCTCGTTGCTGTCGCCGAGGTTGTTCATGTCTTGTTGATTGTAGTGGTAGTATGCCTTACTCTGGTCGTTCTGGTAGTCGTTGTAATGACCATTATGTTTACTAAGGTCGTCTTGTCTGGAAGTGTCGTTCTGGGTATATTGCTCATGTTGTTTATGAGAGGTATGGTCGTTTGAGTCGTAATGTTCATCATAGGAATATTGGCCGGATGTGTCGTCCGGGACGTTTCTGTCACCCCGTGTAAAGTGTTCTTCAAGGCGGTTTGGAAGACGGATAACTGAAGACTTTCTCGTCGCTGCCTCCAACGAAGACGACAACTGTGGTGGATAGATTTGAGAAGACGACAGCGGAGGGGGTGAAGCTCGCAAAGACCACGGCGCTGGTGAGGACGACAACAGTGAGAAAGATGGCGAAGACGACCACGACGACGAATACCGAGTTGCAAGAGACGACGAATGGATTGACGCTTCAAAAATGGAGGCTGAGGAAGAGGAAAACACTAATTAAAAATGAAAAACAGGTTACATGACAGGAAAAGATAAGAGAAGAAGAAGAAGAAAAAGAAGCAGGATCTGATCTTCCTATTAAAAGCTCTATTAAATAAGACATTTTATCATATATATATATATATATATATATATATATATATATATATATTATATATATATATATATATATATATATATATATATATATATATACAATCATGATATTAAAACATTAAAAATTTCTTCCTTCTAGTAAACAATGCTATTTAACCCGGTTATAAAAAGCTAAGACATTAAACCCCAGTAACAAGCAGTCATGTTCGTCATGTCAACTGAAGTAACAATGTTCATGTCGACTGAAGCAGTCATGTTCGTCATGTCAACTGAAGTAACAATGTTCATGTCGACTGAAGCAGTCATGTTCGTCATGTCAACTGAAGTAACAATGTTCATGTCGACTGAAGCAGTCATGTTCGTCATGTCAACTGAAGTAGTCATGTTTGTCATATCAACTGAAACAGTTATGTTTGTCATGTCATCTCAGGTATGTAACATGGAAATAAAAATTGTCCTTTAATTACTGAATCTTATGTGGTGTTACTGTGTGTTATGTGGTGTTACTGTGTTATGTGGTGTTACTGTGTGTTATGTGGTGTTACTGTGTGTTATGTGGTGTTACTGTGTGTTATGTGGTGTTACTGTGTGTTATGTGGTGTTACTGTGCGTTATGTGGTGTTACTGTGTGTTATGTGGTGTTACTGTGTGTTATGTGGTGTTACTCTGTGTTATTTGGTGTTACTGTGTGTTATGTGGTGTTACTGTGCGTTATGTGGTGTTACTGTGTGTTATGTGGTGTTACTGTGTGTTATGTGGTGTTACTGTGTGTTATGTGGTGTTACTCTGTGTTATTTGGTGTTACTGTGTGTTATGTGGTGTTACTGTGTGTTATGTGGTGTTACTGTGTGTTATGTGGTGTTACTGTGTGTTATGTGGTGTTACTCTGTGTTATGTGGTGTTACTGAGTGCTATGTGGTGTTACTGTGTGTTATATGATGTTACTGTGTGTAATGTGGTGTTACTGTGTGTTATTTGGTGTTACTCTGTGTTATGTGGTGTTACTGAGTGCTATGTGGTGTTACTGTGTGTTATATGATGTTACTGTGTGTAATGTGGTGTTACTGTGTGTTATATGATGTCACTGTTTGTAATGTGGTGTTACTGTGTGTTATGTGGTGTTACTGTGTCTTATGTGGTGTTACTGTGTGTTATGTGGTGTTACTGTGTTATGTGGTGTTTCTGTGTGTTATGTGGTGTTACTGTGTGTTATGTGGTGTTACTGTGTGTTATGTGGTGTTACTGTGTGTTATGTGGTGTTACTGTTTGTTATGTGGTGTTACTGTGTGTTATGTGGTGCTACTGTGTGTTGTGGTGTTACTGTGTATTATGTGGTGTTACTGTGTATTATGTGATGTTACTGTGTATTATGTGATGTTACTGTGTGTTATGTGATGCTACTGTGTGTTATATGGTGCTACTGTGTGTTATGTGGTGTTACTGTGTGTTATGGGGTGTGACGGTGTTATGTGGTGTTACTGTGTGTAATGTGGTGTTACTGTGTGTTATATGATGTTACTGTGTGTTATGTGGTGTTATTGTGTGTTATGGGGTGTTACTGTGTGTTATGGGGTGTTACTGTGTGTTATGTGGTGTTACTGTGTGTTATGGGGTGTTACTGTGTGTTATGTGGTGTTACTGTGTGTTATGTGGTGTTACTGTGTCATGTGGTGTGATTGTGTTATGTGGTGTTTCTGTGTGTTATGTAATGTTGCTGTGTGTTATGTGATGTTACTGTGTGTTATGTGGTGCTATTGTGTGTTATGTGGTGTTACTGTGTGTTATGTGGTGTTACTGTATGTTATGGGGTGTGACTGTGTTATGTGGTGTTACTGTGTGTAATGTGGTGTTACTGTGTGTTTTGTGGTGTTATTGTGTGTTATGTGGTGTTACTGTGTGTTATGTGGTGTTACTGTTTGTTAAGTGGTGTTAGTGTTTGTTATGTGGTGTTACTGTGTGTTATGTGGTGTTACTGTGTGTTATGTGGTGTTACTGTTTAAGTGGTGTTACTGTTTGTTAAGTGGTGTTACTGTTTGTTATGTGGTGTTTCTGTGTGTTATGTGGTGTTACTGTTTGTTAAGTGGTGTTACTGTTTGTTAAGTGGTGTTTCTGTGTATTATGTGGTGTTACTGTGTGTTATGTGGTGTTACTGTGTGTTATGTGGTGTTACTGTGTGTTATGTGGTGTTACTGTGTGTTATGTGGTGTTACTGTTTGTTAAGTGGTGTTACTGTTTGTTATGTGGTGTTTCTGTGTATTATGTGGTGTTACTGTGTGTTATGTGGTGTTACTGTGTGTTATGTGGTGTTACTGTGTGTTATGTGGTGTTACTGTGTGTTGTGTTACTGTGTATTATGTGGTGTTACTGTGTATTATGTGATGTTACTGTGTTATGTGATGTTACTGTGTGTTATGTGGTGCTACTGTGTGTTATGTGGTGTTACTGTGTGTTATGAGGTGTGACTGTTATGTGGTGTTACTGTGTGTAATGTGGTGTTACTGTGTGTTACATGATGTTACTGTTTGTAATGTGGTGTTATTGTGTGTTATTTGGTGTTATTGTGTATTATGTTGTGTTACTGTTTGTCTAGTGGTTTTATTTCGTTTTAATGTATGAGAGAGATGAAAGAGGTATTAAGGTGAGAGAGGTAAGAGAGGTGAGAGAGAGATGAGAGTCAAGAAGAAAGTTAAGAAATGAAGGAGAGGAAGTGGAAAAAAAATGGTCTTGGAGGAGCGAGAGTGATGGAAGTTTTGACGTGGCTAGAAATTGGATCTGGGCGTTCATTTTAAGGTTAACTTGAGGAAACTGGCACGATGAGTGTGACCCTGGTCTTAATGTGTGTGTGTGTGTGTGTGTGTGTGTGTGTACTCACCTATTTGTACTCACCTATTTGTGGTTGCAGGGGTCGAGTCACAGCTACTGGCCCCGCCTCTTCGCTGATTGCTACTAGGTCCTCTCTCTCCCTGCCCCATGAGCTCTATCATACCTCGCCTTAAAACTATGTATGGTTCCTGCCTCCACCACATCACTTTCTAGGCTATTCCATGGCCTGACTACTCTGACTGAAGAAATACTTCCTAACATCCCTTTGATTCATCTGAGTCTTCAACTTCCAATTGTGACCTCTTGTGTCTGTGTCCATCTCTGAAACATCCCGTCTTTGTCCACCTCGTCTATTCCGCGCAGTATTTTATATGTCGTTATCATGTCTCCCCTGACCCTCCTGGCCTCCAGTGTCGTCAGGCCGATTTCCCTCAACCTTTCTTCATAGGACAATCCCCGTAGCTCTGGGACTAGTCTTGTTGCAAACCTTTGCACTTTCTCTAATTTCTTGACGTGCTTGACTAGGTGTGGATTCCAAACTGGTGCTGCATACTCCAGTATGGGCCTGACGTAGATGGTGTACAGAGTCTTAAACGAATCCTTACTGAGGTATCGGAACGCTATCCGTAGGTTTGCCAGGCGCCCGTACGCTGCAGCAGTTATCTGATTGATGTGCGCCTCAGGAGATATGCTCGGTGTTATACTCAACCCCAGATCTTTGTCCTTGAGTGAGGTTTGCAGTCTTTGGCCATCTAAACTATATTGTGTCTGCGGTCTTCTTTGCCCTTCCCCAATCTTCATGACTTTGCATTTGGCAGGGTTAAATTCAAGGAGCCAGTTGCTGGACCAGGCTGGTAGCCTGTCCAGATCTCTTTGTAGTCCTGCCTGATCCTCGTCCGATTCGATTCTTCTCATTAACTTCACATCGTCTGCAAACAAGGACACTTCTGAGTCTATCCCTTCCGTTATGTCGTTCACGTAAACCAAGAACAGCACAGGTCCTAGGACTGACCCCTGTGGAACCCCGCTTGTCACAGGCGCCCACTCTGACACCTCGTCGCGTACCATGACTCGTTGTTGCCTCCCTGTCAGATATTCTCTGATCCATTGCAGTGCCTTTCCTGTTATGTGTGCCTGGTCCTCTAGCTTTTGCAGTAACCTCTTGTGAGGAACTGTGTCGAAAGCCTTCTTGCAGTCCAAAAATACGCAGTCGATCCACCCCTCTCTCTCTTGTCTTACTTCTGTCACCTTGTCATAAAACTCTAGTAGGTTTGTGACACAGGATTTTCCTTCCTGAAACCGTGCTGGTTGTCAATTATACACTTGTTTCTTTCCAGGTGCCCCACCACTCTCCTCCTGATGATCTTCTCCATGACCTTGCATACTATACACGTTAGTGATACAGGTCTGTAGTTTAGTGCCTCATGTCTGTCTCCCTTTTTAAAAATTGGGACTACATTTGCCATTTTCCATACCTCAGGGAGTTGCCCAGTTTCAAATGATGTGTTGAAGATCTTTGTTAATGGCTCACACAATATCTCTGCTCCCTCTTTAAGAACCCATGGAGAGATGTTGTCTGGTCCACCGCCTTTGAGGTGTCAAGTTCGCATAGCAGCTTCTTCACCTCTCCTTGGTTATATGTACCTCATCCAGCACTTGCTGGTGTGCCCCCCTGTTCTGATTTCTTGGAGTCCTACTAGTTTCCACTGTAAATACCTCTTTAAATTTTGTGTTGAGCTCCTGACATACCTCTCGGTCGTTTCTTGTGAATTCCCCATCACCCTTCCTCAGTCTGATTACCTGGTCCTTGACTGTTGTTTTCCTCCTGATGTGGCTGTACAACAGCTTCGGGTCAGTCTTTACTTTTGATGCTATGTCATTTTCATATTGTCTCTGAGCCTCCCTTCTTATCTGTGCATATTCGTTTCTGGCTCTTCGGCTGATTTCTTTATTTTCCTGAATTCTCTGTCTTCTGTACCTTTTCCATTCTCTAGTACACCTAGTTTTTGCCTCCCTACACCTTTGGGTGAACCAAGGACTCGTTCTGTTCTTCCCT